GTTCCTGTACTCGAGAGTCTTAAATTAAGGTATCCTCAAAGTGCTTCCGGAGTCTGCCAATGCAGACTGCCTATCACATGCCTCTGTATGACTAACCATCCTGTGTGATGGGGATTTTATAGCTTTTTTGACACACTGTACTCCACTTCATATAGTCTAGAGTAGCTGCACTAATGCAGATGTACCTAATGTATTAATAAAAAAATAAGAAAATAAATTAAGGAATTGCGAGAATTTATAACTTTCCAAGTGGTTGTGTATTTCTACTTTCATTGGACATATTTTCTTCGCCATGGCAAGGAGGAGACGCTACGAGGGACGGCCATGTTTGGTATAACGTGATATAACGGACATTGAGCAAGTGTAAATATAGGTGGTCTTATTATTAAGTTCTTTTTCTCATAATTTAACGATCACATGGGCTTCTCATTAGCGATGGAGCTGTCAGTGTACTTCCGTACTTGAGAGATGGGACTCGGGCATGCACTCCCTCTTTCCTCAACCAGTATTTACTTTTCAGTTTAAGAGCTCTGAAGAGTTACGAGGTCGTACACCGTCCATATAAGACTCCCTGGATACAACCTTCCCTCCACATAGGCATCCTGCAGTCCCACATTTCCCTCCATCATACACTACTTAAATGTAGTGAATGTGAGTATATACATCCAGTCCATATACAGTATACATCCATTACTGCCTCACATGTCCTTCACAACATTCTCCCTACTGACCGGCAAATTACCTTGACGCTTCTAGTACATCGTGGTGGAGGGACAGAGGATTATGGTAATATTAAAGTATAAGGCACAACAGTATAATACACCACTCTCTATCCCAGATTTACATTTCCTAATGTTTATTTACAACTGGGTGAGCTTCTCTCCCCTGCCAATCAATCTCACTCTCATACACATCTCATCACCATCTACATAGTTGTGGCTCCACCACACTCCAAATGTGTACATATATTCATGGCCTCATTCCTCCTCAGACCTGACAAGGAAGGGTAACTTATCAGAGACAACCACGTACTGCTCGGAAGATTTGTCTCGGCTTTTTTTTTCCCTCCCATAATTACTGACTTCTTGGAAGCTTTCTGTCGTGTCTTGCTTATTAAGCACAGGATTACGACATGCGGCAGTCTGTGTGTAATGGACGGTGATTCTTCATTTTGCTGTGTGTAGAATAAGGAGAGAGCCTTATGTTGGTTATTGTTATCGTCTTTATTGTTTTATGGCTTGTAACCCCCCCTCATTCTCCTCATTCCCTTCTCTTTCTATGTTTGTCTGTCTTACTGGGCCTCTCTCTTTCTCTCTCTGCATGTGTCTGTCTGTCTGTCTGTCTGTCTGTCTGTCTGTCTGTCTGTCTGTCTGTCTGTCTGTCTGTCTGTCTGTCTCTCTCTCTCTCTCTCTCTCTCTCTCTCTCTTTGTGTCTGCGTCTTCGTGGTGAATGTATGTAAAAATCACGTTTTCTCTTACGCAATGCAGATGTTGTTATGCATGTTTAAGGAGTAAATTAGTGTAGGTGAGTGTTGCGGGCACTCTTGGGGGATGACTCAAGCCACAATGATAATCTTCTCTAAAGTTATGATAATACATTATGTTCTTGTTATTGAAACAGAAAATATTTCAGAGTCATACGAAGAGAAGTTTGCCTGGTAGTCGGTAGCAACGATTCCAGAGCAAGATGATTGCTGCTTCACACTCTTGACATTGATGTCAGACCGAATGGATGGTGACATTGATGCCGGACTGAATGGCTGTTGCCTCATACATTTAACATTGAAGTCAGGCCGAGTGCCTGTGGCCTCACACACCTGTTATTGATGCGAGACGGAGTGACTGCTGCCCCACACACACCCGGTATTGATGCGAGACCGAGTTATTGATGCCCCACACACCTGACAGGTCCTCCGGGCAGCACTAGGGGCCTCGGTGCCCGCGCCTGGTAGTTCCCCTCACCATTAGCGTCTCCACCGAACAGTTCCTGCAGCTCTGACCCCGGAATAACGGCGTGTCATCCTGTTTTTTTGTGCCAGTGTTTTATCATGGTAATGTGATGCTCTCGTGTGACCATGAGGCTGTGTGCTTTGGTTAATGTTACCTCCATAATGAAGGTGTTTGCGAATTGAGAGAATGTTTACAGATCTAGACTTACATAACTCTTAAGGTTACTGTTTGGGGTTGATTTGCAATATATGGATAATGCAAAGACATTGACGTTCAAGTTGAATTTAGCTTATTGAAATAATAAAAGGCATTCCCGAAAGGATAGAATAAATTAGGCCGTTTTTGCCTCAGTCCAAACTGTTCACACATAATTATCATATTTTACATTACAAATGCATTTACATTGATTGCTTAGTTGTCACATAATACATATTAAAAATATATTAAAAAGAATTTTACCGTTATATTCTTGGTTCAAAGCGTTTGAGCCTCCTCCTTGCACCATTCATGTAATGCCGGTGTGTGCGCAGTCCGTGCGCCCCGGATGAAAACCCCGCGCGCGATGCGGTCTTCGGTAGTCGTTGGTATTCGTCGTGTCCTTCTAGCGAAGCGGGAAAGACGAGGCACCTGTCATGCAGCGCCAAAAATATCCTAGATGCATCTTTTTTGGGGGGTGACACTGAAGATTCTAAATATATTTGTTATGCAGTACTAGATGCTCCTGTCATGAAGCGTTGAAGGTCTTCGATGCACCTGTCATGAAGCGTTGAAGGTCTTCGATGCTCCTGTCATGAAGCATTGAAGGTCTTCGATGCACCTGTCATGAAGTGCTGAAGGTCTTCGATGCACCTGTCATGAAGCGCTGAAGGTCTTCGATGCACCTGTCATGAAGTGCTGAAGGTCTTCGATGCACCTGTCATGAAGCATTGAAGGTCTTCGATGCACCTGTCATGAAGCGCTGAAGGTCTTCGATGCACCTGTTATGAAGCATTGAAGGTCTTCGATGCACCTGTCATGAAGTGCTGAAGGTCTTCGATGCACCTGTCATGAAGCGCTGAAGGTCTTCGATGCACCTGTCATGAAGTGCTGAAGGTCTTCGATGCACCTGTCATGAAGCGTTGAAGGTCTTCGATGCACCTGTCATGAAGCGTTGAAAGTCTTCGATGCACCTGTCATGAAGCGTTGAAAGTCTTCGATGCACCTGTCATGAAGCGTTGAAGGTCTTCGATGCACCTGTCATGAAGCATTGAAGGTCTTCGATGCACCTGTCATGAAGCGTTGAAAGTCTTCGATGCACCTGTCATGAAGCGTTGAAAGTCTTCGATGCACCTGTCATGAAGCGTTGAAAGTCTTCGATGCACCTGTCATGAAGCGTTGAAAGTCTTCGATGCACCTGTCATGAAGTGCTGAAGGTCTTCGATGCACCTGTCATGAAGCGTTGAAAATCTTCGATGCACCTGTCATGAAGCGTTGAAGGTCTTCGATGCACCTGTAATGGATTGCTGAAGGTCTTCGATGCACCTGTCATGAAGTGCTGAAGATTCACAGTGAGTCTGTTTGGCAGCGCGAAATGTCTTAATGAAACTGTAGCGGAACACTGAAGATATTAAATGCACCTGTTATGCAGCACTGAAGAGCCTCGAGACACCTGTTATGGAGCACTGAAGAGCCCCAAGGTACCTGTTATGCAGCACTGAAGAGCCTCAAGACACCTGTTATGCAGCACTGAAGAGCCTCAAGACACCTGTTATGCAGCACTGAAGAGCCCCAAGACACCTGTTATGCAGCACTGAAGAGCCTCAAGACACCTGTTATGCAGCGTCGATATATCACTGACATGAGGTAACTTACCTCTACCCATTATAAATTTGAGTAAGATTCGTCTCGCAGGCGGGAGTCAGGAGGGCCCAGAATGACGCTCTTCCCCGTGGACGTCCGCTATCAGTATGCCGCGCGCGCTCCCACTGGTGTCCTGCGTCTGCCTTATTTTTGGCAGGTACTCCACACGGCTGGCTACCCGAGCTGGTCATAGCGCAGTGCTCTAGTGTGGGGGAAAGGTGTGCCCTCACCTTCCACCGTCCTCTGCACTAGGTGAGGGGCATACTCCTCTTGGAGGGCTTGTACCGTTATAGCTTGAGACTGTACCGCGCATCTGAGAGCCGTACCGTCACATCTAAGGACCGTGCCGTCACATGTGAGGAGAGTACAGGCACAACTGAGGATAATGATCACATTTGAGAACACCCGGTCACACCCGAGGATACAAGGGGGGGTCACGTTTAAGGCTACAGCTACACATGTAGATACAGGAAAGTATATATTAGGGCACATATCGAATAGGTTATTTTTGTTGACAACTAATTACATCCACATTCGTCGTTTATTCCATTTATTATTGATTAGTCCTGTCAGTAAGGCATATGTGTCTCATAACACATTGTTTACATCAATAGTTTGGGTTTTATTGACATTTTTACATTAAGCTATCAAGAGACCCCCGGTCTTGGTGAATATATCCTCGCTGTCACTGTATACCATGGAAACTAGGCCTCAATACGCGGGGAAACATACCCCCCCTCCATCCCACCAACACGTTTCCCAACTTCCTGTCTGCGTATACCCTTACCTGTCTGCGTATACCCTTACCCGGCTGCGTATACCCTTACCCGTCTGGGTATACCCTTACCCGTCTGCGTATACACTTACCCGTCTGCGTATACACTTACCCGTCTGCGTATACCCTTACCCGTCTGCGTATACCCCTTACCCATCTGCGTATACCCCTTACCCATCTGCGCATACCCTTACCCGTCTCGCATTGTTTCTGACTATAAAGACTATAACACAACAAATACTTCGGTCGTCTGCATGATGTCTCCAGAATGGTTGTCTTGGAGGTATACAGCCTACCAGTCAGCTGCAGTTACAAAATACCCGGTATATGACCTTTAGATTTAAGCTCAAGCAGGCGACCCTTGCGTGTGACGTCAGAATGTAGGCTCCTCCCACCCAGCAGGAAGGAGTGTGCCAGGCTGCGGGTCCCCAACAATCTGGCCCCAGCTCAGTCCCGGGCAGGATCTACAGGCAACACCAGCCCGGCCGGACTTGAGACGAGCGTCACCACTGGGGGATTTCACCCGCGAGTTTTAGTTCCCATACGGGGAAAGTTTATTACCAGAAGCCGGGGCTTTTTTTTTTGTATATAAGCACAATGGAAATATAAAATGTATGTAGATCCTGAGTGAAGAGACACAGGGGGGGACAGTGTGTGTGTGTGTGTGTCAGAGGGCGATACATAAGCGTAGAGCCCTTTGTTGCTACTGACAGTTGTTGGGGAGTGTGTGTGAGGTTCACCAGCCCAGGATGGAGGCACCCGGCAGTTGGTGGCGGAGGTTCGTAGCGGTGTTGGGGACCATCTCCGTGGAGCCCATCATGCTGCTGGATGGCCTGGCCTACTCCAACATGGTAGTGCTGGTGGAAAACCTCCAAATGGACAAAGTATGTCTTGTCAACCTCAATCAAACGTCAGAGGTGTGCTCGAACCTCACAAACTACAAAGACGTGAAGGACAGCATGAGTAAGGAAGTGAGTGTGTTCGCCATGTACAACGGTATCATCACTGCAGTCATCCCGCTCTTTTTCATCCTGTTCATGGGTGCTTGGAGCGACAAGTACGGCAGGAAGGTGCCCCTGGCGGTGTGCACCTTCGGCCACCTCCTCTACAGTTTAGGCTACCTGGTGGCCTCGACGGTCGGGACGTGGCCAGTGGAGTACCTGCTCTTCGTGGCCCTCCTCGACTCCTTGGGTGGTGGCACCGTGTCCTTCCTCACGGCTTCCAACTCTTACATCAGTGACGTGACGTCAGAGTCGACCAGAACTTCTCGCGTGGGCCTGGCAAACAGTATCTGGTTCCTCGGCGGCCCCATTGGCACTCTGATTGGCACTTACATATATAAAGCCGGTGGGTACCAGATGCTCTTTGGCACGTCCTTGAGCATGTACGTGGTAATCCTCCTATACATCATATTCTTCTTGCCGGAGAGCCACGGACCCTTTGCCAACGTGCAGAAACTGGAAAAAATTCTGCCTCCGAAGCAGTCTCTGCGACTCCGGGAGAGCATTGCTTGGGTGTACGGCATCGACAAGGTCAAAAAGAAGAACGTTTTGCACACCAAGAGCGTCCTCAAGAAGGTTAAAAGAATCACCCTCACTCTGATGATTAAGGACTTCTTTAACCCCAAGAGGATCACGGAGAGCTTCAAGTGCACGCTCAAGAAGAGAGAAGGCAACGTGAGAATCTACATCCTGCTGCTCATCCTCTGCAACCTGCTGAGGAAGCTGGGTCGAGGTGGGTGGCACTCTTGCATTCTTTTCACTCATTTGCTGTTTTCGTTAGTTCGTATCGTGGCACGGCCCATATGAGCCGTTGAGGCGTAGAGGGGGTTATGTCCCGCGTCCAAGTCTTGTGACCTTGGTTAGGTGGGTACCTCACCGTGATCCCATCATCATCATGGCCAAATTATTGCGAGCTGGTCATTCCGGGAGGCCGAGTGTGTGTGTGTGTGTGTGTGTGTGTGTGTGTGTGTGTGTGTGTGTGTGTGTGTGTGTGTGTGTGTGTGTGTGTGTGTGTGTGTGTGTGTGTGTGTGTGTGTGTACTCACCTAGTTGAGTGTATGTACTCCTGTGCGAATGGCTGTACTCCTGTGCGAGTGGCTGTACTCCTGTGTGAGTGGCTGTACTCCTGTGTGAGTGCCTGCACTCCTGAGTGCGAGTAAAGGGTACACCACCCTTCACCCGGCCTGGGTGGGGGCTGAGGGCCGACACAGCCCACCCCCACCACACTTGTCCCTGAAGCTTAATTAAACAATACAGTGACACAAGGAATTTATATCTTCAATACTGCTGAGATTCGAGCTAAGGTCTGGAAATATCCAAGTCCCCATTTTCTAACTATTGGGTAATAATACTGGAACTACCGAACCTCCAATGGTTTGGAGGTTTTCGGGGGTTTGGAGTCCCTGTGTCTTCTATGGACTTCGAGGTAAACTTCGTAGCTGGAGCCCCTTGGGGGGTAGTTCGTTGTTGCCTTCAACCTCGTTCTGACAGTTCTTGCGACGGCGCTGGAACCAATCGTATTGGCGTTAGCCTTTCCATTGGAGACTTTCGGAGCCGTGGAGAGAGGGGGACCTGCTGCATGGGTGACAGCTTCTTCTCCGTATCAACCTACTCTGGCTTTGGGCCCCTGGAGAGGCCACTCCAGACCGACAACCAGAGCGCAACTCCACAGTCTCCTGAGATTGATGGATGCCACTACTTCTACTACTGAGCATGTCTCTCCTAGCTCTTCTGTCTTCAAGGGACGTGAGGTTTAGCTCCCATAGCCTTTCCGCGTGACTTATACCTCTCAGTTCTGGAACTAGTCTGGTGGCATAACTCTGAATCTTCTCTAACTTTGTGTTTAACTAGGTATGAACTTCAGACTGGAGCTGCATACTCCTGGATTGGTCTGTCATCTGTGGTATACAAGGTTCTGAATGATTCCTTACACTAGTTTGTAAAGGCAGTTCTTATGTTGGCCAATTGTTGGCCAAAGCATATGCCGCTGATGATATCCTTTTCATGTGGGCTTCTAGGGATAGGTTCGGTGTGACATCAATCCCCAGATCTTTCTCTTTATTTGAATGCAGGATTCCACCTCCCAGATGGTACCTTGTGTTCGGTCTCCTGCTCCCTTCACCTAATTTCAATACCTTACACTTACCTGAGTTTAAGTTTAGTAGCCATTTTCTAGACGATTCCTCCAGTTTGTGTGTGTGTGTGTGTGTGTGTGTGTGTGTGTGTGTGTGTGTGTGTGTGTGTGTGTGTGTGTGTGTGTGTGTGTGTGTGTACTCACCTAATTGTACTCACCTAATTGTGCTTGCGGGGGTTGAGCTCTGGCTCTTTGGTCCCGCCTCTCAACCGTCAATCAACTGGTGTACAGATTCCTGAGCCTATTGGGCTCTATCATATCTACATTTGAAACTGTGAATGGAGTCAGCCTCCACCACATCACTTCCTAATGCATTCCATTTGCTAACTACTCTGACACTGAAAAAGTTCTTTCTAACGTCTCTGTGGCTCATTTGGGTACTCAGCTTCCACCTGTGTCCCCTTGTTCGCGTCCCACCAGTGTTGAAAAGTTCGTCCTTGTTTACCCGGTCGATTCCCCTGAGGATTTTGTAGGTTGTGATCATGTCCCCCCTTACTCTTCTGTCTTCCAGTGTCGTGAGGTGCATTTCCCGCAGCCTTTCCTCATAACTCATGCCTCTTAGTTCTGGGACTAGTCTAGTAGCATACCTTTGGACTTTTTCCAGCTTCGTCTTGTGCTTGACAAGGTACGGGCTCCATGCTGGGGCCGCATACTCCAGGATTGGTCTTACATATGTGGTGTACAAGATTCTGAATGATTCCTTACACAGGTTCCTGAACGCCGTTCTGATGTTAGCCAGCCTCGCATATGCCGCAGACGTTATTCTCTTTATGTGGGCTTCAGGAGACAGGTTTGGTGTGATATCAACTCCTAGATCTTTCTCTCTGTCTGTTTCATTAAGTACTTCATCTCCTATTCTGTATCCTGTGCCTGGCCTCCTGTTTCCACTGCCTAGTTTCATTACTTTGCATTTACTCGGGTTGAACTTCAACAGCCATTTGTTGGACCATTCACTCAGTCTATCCAGGTCATCTTGTAGCCTCCTACTATCATCCTCTGTTTCAATCCTCCTCATAATTTTTGCATCGTCGGCAAACATTGAGAGGAACGAATCTATACCCTCTGGGAGATCATTTACATATACCAGAAACAGTATAGGTCCAAGGACTGACCCCTGCGGGACTCCACTTGTGACGTCTCGCCAATCTGAGACCTCACCCCTTACACAGACTCGTTGTCTCCTGTGTGTGTGTGTGTGTGTGTGTGTGTGTGTGTGTGTGTGTGTGTGTGTGTGTGTGTGTGTGTGTGTCTGCGTGTGTGTGTGTGTGTGCCCGCGCGTGTGTGTGTGCATGTATATGCGCGTGTTTCATAATTTTAAGGCGTTTGTTTTCATACCGACAATCTATATTAAGAAATATTTATGATCTGGAGATAATCCGTCGTAAACTTGTGTGTTCTGATCTTGAGCATTCTGTAAGCGTTTAGCTATGAAACACATTGCTACATAACTTAACACATTGTGCTTTTAATGATATTATCATGAATATAACATGTCTTTTGAACCCGTATTTTCGCAGGTATAGCAGTATGATGGTACCTCAGCCATGATGCTCTTTAATGTGTTTTTTAATATTTGGAGTATTAAAAAGGTTACTATGTAATTGTACCAAAATTATATTAAAATTAAATGTAATTAATATTAAAAAAGTGGCTATGTAATAACTTGACGCTTTCTCCTAGTAGTTCCCTTCCCCTTGGAATATGCCTGGAGTGTGCCTGGAGTGTGCCTGGAGTGTGCCTGGAGTGTGCCTGGAGTGTGCCTGGAGTGTGCCTGGAGTGTGCCTGGAGTGTGCCTGGAGTATGCCTGGAGTGTGCCTGGAGTATGCCTGGAGTGTGCCTGGAGTGTGCCTGGAGTGTGCCTGGAGAGTGCCTGGAGTGTGCCTGGAGTGTGCCTGGAGTATGCCTGGAGTGTGCCTGGAGTGTGCCTGGAGTGTGCCTGGAGTGTGCCTGGAGTGTGCCTGGAGTGTGCCTGGAGTGTGCCTGGAGTGTGCCTGGAGAGTGTGCCTGGAGTGTGCCTGGAGTATGCCTGGAGTGTGCCTGGAGTATGCCTGGAGTATGTGGAGTGTGGAGTGTGCCTGGAGTGTGCCTGGAGTGTGCCTGGAGAGTGCCTGGAGTGTGCCTGGAGAGTGCCTGTGCCTGGAGTGTGCCTGGAGTATGCCTGGAGTGTGCCTGGAGTGTGCCTGGAGTGTGCCTGGAGAGTGTGCCTGGAGTGTGCCTGGAGTGTGCCTGGAGTGTGCCTGGAGTATGCCTGGAGTGTGCCTGGAGTGTGCCTGGAGTGTGCCTGGAGTGTGCCTGGAGTGTGCCTGGAGAGTGCCTGGAGTATGCCTGGAGTGTGCCTGGAGTATGCCTTGGAGTATGCCTGGAGTGTGCCTGGAGTGTGCCTGGAGTGTGCCTGGAGTGTGCCTGGAGTGTGCCTGGAGTGTGCCTGGAGTGTGCCTGGAGTGTGCCTGGAGAGTGCCTGGAGTGTGCCTGGAGAGTGCCTGGAGTATGCCTGGAGTGTGCCTGGAGTATGCCTGGAGTGTGCCTGGAGTGTGCCTGGAGTGTGCCTGGAGTGTGCCTGGAGTGTGCCTGGAGTGTGCCTGGAGTGTGCCTGGAGTGTGCCTGGAGTGTGCCTGGAGAGTGGAGTGCCTGGAGTGTGCCTGGAGTGTGCCTGGAGTGTGCCTGGAGTGTGCCTGGAGTGTGCCTGGAGTGTGCCTGGAGTGTGCCTGGAGTGTGCCTGGAGTGTGCCTGGAGTGTGCCTGGAGTGTGCCTGGAGTGTGCCTGGAGTGTGCCTGGAGTGTGCCTGGAGTGTGCCTGGAGTGTGCCTGGAGTGTGCCTGGAGTGTGCCTGGAGTGTGCCTGGAGTGTGCCTGGAGTGTGCCTGGAGTGTGCCTGGAGTGTGCCTGGAGTGTGCCTGGAGTGTGCCTGGAGTGTGCCTGGAGTGTGCCTGGAGTGTGCCTGCCTGGAGTGTGCCTGGAGTGTGCCTGGAGTGTGCCTGGAGTGTGCCTGGAGTGTGCCTGGAGTGTGCCTGGAGTGTGCCTGGAGTGTGCCTGGAGTGTGCCTGGAGTGTGCCTGGAGTGTGCCTGGAGTGTGCCTGGAGTGTGCCTGGAGTGTGCCTGGAGTGTGCCTGGAGTATGCCTGGAGTGTGCCTGGAGTGTGCCTGGAGTGTGCCTGGAGTGTGCCTGGAGTGTGCCTGGAGTGTGCCTGGAGTATGCCTGGAGTGTGCCTGGAGTGTGCCTGGAGTGTGCCTGGAGTGTGCCTGGAGTGTGCCTGGAGTATGCCTGGAGTGTGCCTGGAGTATGCCTGGAGTGTGCCTGGAGTATGCCTGGAGTATGCCTGGAGTGTGCCTGGAGTATGCCTGGAGTATGCCTGGAGTGTGCCTGGAGTGTGCCTGGAGTATGCCTGGAGTGTGCCTGGAGTATGCCTGGAGTATGCCTGGAGTGTGCCTGGAGTATGCCTGGAGTATGCCTGGAGTGTGCCTGGAGTGTGCCTGGAGTGGGTTTCGGGAGTTCTTCTACTCCCCAAGCCCGGCCTGGGGTCAGATTTGTCTTGTGATAACTTGATTGAAAAGGGACTGATAGTCTCGGTGGCGCAGTGGTAAAACACCCGTCCGGCGCTTCGC